AACATCCCCCTCAGAGATTTGGCACTCACGTTGAAAGCTTCTCGTTGTCTTGCTATTGTAACACACCCATTATCAGCCGATCGAACCTTATTTTCTTAAAAGGCGCCTCAACTTTTTATCAAAAATCAAAATATTGTCCGAATCAACTTTTTTGGCCCGTTAATTTTTCAAAACATTTGATTCTGTTTCTTATGTGCATTTGCGTGCGCGTCCTTTATTTTTGTTTAAGCGTTTTTGGAAAGCCCGAACGTCCATTTGGTGAGCCTCAAAAAGTCGCGCCCCTGGTTCTACTGCAGATCGACCAAAAAACACTCATTGGTAACGGAAAGTTCTGCTTAACCTACTCTCCGATATCTTTTCATGACCATGGTGTACTCACGATTATTGTTTCAATAAAGTGTTTATTGTAGTTAAACTCTAAAAACTAGTAAGTTCTCAAAATCACAAACAAAAGCCAGACATGCCGACCCAAAGGGTCCCCCCTTTGTACTATTTTGAGGTATCCATTTTTGGTAAGGTACCCTAAAATTTTTCAAAGGGTGCCTTTGGCGCTAATATATACTAATTTTGAGGGGGGAGCGCGCGCCGAGAAAACACAAATTTTTTGGTCAAAAATTTCCAAAAAGTGCCTAAAACGCCTTTTTTGGCCTGTTGTATTAAAATTTTGCCTGCGGTGCACACAATTTGACCGAAACAGGGTCTTTTTAAAGCTTTGGGAGAGCTCGGAAAATCAATTTGGTCGTCGACCTAAAAAAAGGTTGACGACAAAATTTTTTTGAAAATCCGTCCTCCCTCGAGAAAATTCTAGATCCGCCCTTGTACGGGCATGATGCATTTGTTTGTAATCATTAGACTATTTTTTTATCTTTTAACCAAATAAAACGTACCAACCCATGTGTTTTTATATTGGCGCCATAGTCAAGCCAACTAAATTCTTTTTTTTTGCATGTAACAAATATCTTGCTAATTAGGTCCAATTCAGGGGCATATCTAGGATTTTCTCGAAAGGAGGGGGCGGATTTTCAAAGAGGTTTTGAAAATTTTGACGACATTTTTTTTTGGTGGACCGAATTGATTTTTTGAGCTCTCCATAAAAACGGTTTAGTCCCTGTTTTGGCCAAATTTTCTGCGCCGCCGGAAAAATTTTGAGAAAAAAGTCTAAAATAGGCGTTTTTAGGCACTTTTTGGAAAATTTTGACCAAAAAATTGCGTTTTTTCGGCGCGCGCTCCCCCCCTCAAAATAATTTTATATTGGCGCCAAAGGTGCCTTTAGAAAAATTTTAGGATCGGTCGGCCAAAAATGGATTTCTTAAAAAGTACCAAAGGGCAAAGGGAGGACCCTTTGGGCCGGCAGGAGGTCGAATCCCTGAAACAAAGGGCGTCCGCCCCCCCCCCCCCCGCCCCCATAAATCCGCCCCTGGTCCAATTCATCTCATTTTCGCAATATATATATATATATATATATATATTTATATATATATATATATATATATATATATATATATATATATATATATTTACATTTGTTGCCTTTTGATCAACAAACAGTTTTCTAATTGAAAATGCAGAAAAAAAATTGAACATAAGGGGGGGAAGATCTCAGATCTAGGACTTTCTCGAGAAGGGGGGGCGAAGTCTCAAAAAATTTTTGAAAATTTGGTCGACCTTTTTTAGGCCGACCAAATTGATTTTTCGAACGCTCTCAGAACATAATAAAGACCCTTTTTGGCCGTTTTAGCACACGTTTTGACCATAAGAAACGCGTTTTTTTGGTGCGCACTCGCCTTCAGAGTTTGTATAAATTAGCGCCAATGGATCTTTTAGAAAAATTCAAGGTTTGGTTGGCTTAAAATGGATTTCATAAAATAATACCAAAGATACCACCCTTTCGTTGGTGAGAGGGTCAAACCCCTGAGAGAAAGCATCTAATCACCCCCCCCCCCCTAAATCCGCCCCTGTAAAGTATAGGATCCCTTTTACTCTGTTAAAAAAGGGCTTCAAATCTTTTCAAAGACAAAATACTTCCATTCGCATCAACTCTTTTGAACTGCTGGTACTAGCATTAAAATATTAGAGAATTCTCTGCGGTTCGATCGATCATAGCTGCAAATGAAAGTCATATGGTCTTGCCAAGTTATCATACAGATCTCGAAGCAAAGTATATATGCATAATCGTCATTATAAAAATATTGCCAAAAACAACAACTAATTTTACGATGAGAATTTGAAGAGAACAGTTTTATGCAAAAACAAACACCATAGTCGAGCCACACCCGTTCAAAATTTCAAAGTCAATCAATTGGAAAACATCAAAAGCACTTATAACCAAATAAAAAAAAATTCTTAGAGGTAAAAATGACTTCCAACAATTCAGTAATTATAATAATTGTGAGTTCGATTCAGTTCACAGTAACTGTTTTCGGCCTTCCGGGAGATCACGCGTGTTATGGGAACGAAATTTACGAATACATTTGCGAGCCGGCGACGCCGTGCTCCGAAGACAACGAGTGCGGAAACCGAGAACTGTGTTGCGACGGAATCTGTAGAGTTTCGTCCCGAGATGAATGCAAGGAGCCCCCGTTAACAATGTAAGTGCCAAAGTGGAAAACTGGGGACCAATTTAACATCCCCCCTCAAATCCGTTCAGGGGGGGGAAGGATGTTAACTTGGTATTGAATTGAATTTTCAGCCAATTAGAATCGAGCTTTTTACACGCAGCGCTCTACAAATTTATACCTAACCAAACGCTGGGTTAGAGGATCTTAACTTGAACTATCTGGAAGGAGGATATCAATTTGATCCAGAACTGGAAATTGCCTCAAAGTTTTGAAGAGCTCATCACTTTTGATGCATTTCTGCAAAAAACGGCAGATGAAATATTATTGCAATTTGTTATGCAAAAGTTGCACTGATTAATATATTATTGATCCTTTTGATGCCTTTTGATCAACAAACAGTTTTCTAATTGAAAATGCAGAAAAAAAATTGAACATAAGGGGGGGAAGATCTCAGATCTAGGACTTTCTCGAGAAGGGGGGGCGAAGTCTCAAAAAATTTTTGAAAATTTGGTCGACCTTTTTTAGGCCGACCAAATTGATTTTTCGAACGCTCTCAGAACATAATAAAGACCCTTTTTGGCCGTTTTAGCACACGTTTTGACCATAAGAAACGCGTTTTTTTGGTGCGCACTCGCCTTCAGAGTTTGTATAAATTAGCGCCAATGGATCTTTTAGAAAAATTCAAGGTTTGGTTGGCTTAAAATGGATTTCATAAAATAATACCAAAGATACCACCCTTTCGTTGGTGAGAGGGTCAAACCCCTGAGAGAAAGCATCTAATCACCCCCCCCCCCCCCTAAATCCGCCCCTGTAAAGTATAGGATCCCTTTTACTCTGTTAAAAAAGGGCTTCAAATCTTTTCAAAGACAAAATACTTCCATTCGCATCAACTCTTTTGAACTGCTGGTACTAGCATTAAAATATTAGAGAATTCTCTGCGGTTCGATCGATCATAGCTGCAAATGAAAGTCATATGGTCTTGCCAAGTTATCATACAGATCTCGAAGCAAAGTATATATGCATAATCGTCATTATAAAAATATTGCCAAAAACAACAACTAATTTTACGATGAGAATTTGAAGAGAACAGTTTTATGCAAAAACAAACACCATAGTCGAGCCACACCCGTTCAAAATTTCAAAGTCAATCAATTGGAAAACATCAAAAGCACTTATAACCAAATAAAAAAAAATTCTTAGAGGTAAAAATGACTTCCAACAATTCAGTAATTATAATAATTGTGAGTTCGATTCAGTTCACAGTAACTGTTTTCGGCCTTCCGGGAGATCACGCGTGTTATGGGAACGAAATTTACGAATACATTTGCGAGCCGGCGACGCCGTGCTCCGAAGACAACGAGTGCGGAAACCGAGAACTGTGTTGCGACGGAATCTGTAGAGTTTCGTCCCGAGATGAATGCAAGGAGCCCCCGTTAACAATGTAAGTGCCAAAGTGGAAAACTGGGGACCAATTTAACATCCCCCCTCAAATCCGTTCAGGGGGGGGAAGGATGTTAACTTGGTATTGAATTGAATTTTCAGCCAATTAGAATCGAGCTTTTTACACGCAGCGCTCTACAAATTTATACCTAACCAAACGCTGGGTTAGAGGATCTTAACTTGAACTATCTGGAAGGAGGATATCAATTTGATCCAGAACTGGAAATTGCCTCAAAGTTTTGAAGAGCTCATCACTTTTGATGCATTTCTGCAAAAAACGGCAGATGAAATATTATTGCAATTTGTTATGCAAAAGTTGCACTGATTAATATATTATTGATCCTTTTGATGCCTTTTGATCAACAAACAGTTTTCTAATTGAAAATGCAGAAAAAAAATTGAACATAAGGGGGGGAAGATCTCAGATCTAGGACTTTCTCGAGAAGGGGGGGCGAAGTCTCAAAAAATTTTTGAAAATTTGGTCGACCTTTTTTAGGCCGACCAAATTGATTTTTCGAACGCTCTCAGAACATAATAAAGACCCTTTTTGGCCGTTTTAGCACACGTTTTGACCATAAGAAACGCGTTTTTTTGGTGCGCACTCGCCTTCAGAGTTTGTATAAATTAGCGCCAATGGATCTTTTAGAAAAATTCAAGGTTTGGTTGGCTTAAAATGGATTTCATAAAATAATACCAAAGATACCACCCTTTCGTTGGTGAGAGGGTCAAACCCCTGAGAGAAAGCATCTAATCACCCCCCCCCCCCCCCCCTAAATCCGCCCCTGTAAAGTATAGGATCCCTTTTACTCTGTTAAAAAAGGGCTTCAAATCTTTTCAAAGACAAAATACTTCCATTCGCATCAACTCTTTTGAACTGCTGGTACTAGCATTAAAATATTAGAGAATTCTCTGCGGTTCGATCGATCATAGCTGCAAATGAAAGTCATATGGTCTTGCCAAGTTATCATACAGATCTCGAAGCAAAGTATATATGCATAATCGTCATTATAAAAATATTGCCAAAAACAACAACTAATTTTACGATGAGAATTTGAAGAGAACAGTTTTATGCAAAAACAAACACCATAGTCGAGCCACACCCGTTCAAAATTTCAAAGTCAATCAATTGGAAAACATCAAAAGCACTTATAACCAAATAAAAAAAAATTCTTAGAGGTAAAAATGACTTCCAACAATTCAGTAATTATAATAATTGTGAGTTCGATTCAGTTCACAGTAACTGTTTTCGGCCTTCCGGGAGATCACGCGTGTTATGGGAACGAAATTTACGAATACATTTGCGAGCCGGCGACGCCGTGCTCCGAAGACAACGAGTGCGGAAACCGAGAACTGTGTTGCGACGGAATCTGTAGAGTTTCGTCCCGAGATGAATGCAAGGAGCCCCCGTTAACAATGTAAGTGCCAAAGTGGAAAACTGGGGACCAATTTAACATCCCCCCTCAAATCCGTTCAGGGGGGGAAGGATGTTAACTTGGTATTGAATTGAATTTTCAGCCAATTAGAATCGAGCTTTTTACACGCAGCGCTCTACAAATTTATACCTAACCAAACGCTGGGGTAGAGGATCTTAACTTGAACTATCTGGAAGGAGGATATCAATTTGATCCAGAACTGGAAATTGCCTCAAAGTTTTGAAGAGCTCATCACTTTTGATGCATTTCTGCAAAAAACGGCAGATGAAATATTATTGCAATTTGTTATGCAAAAGTTGCACTGATTAATATATTATTGATCCCTAGCAGGGGCGGATCAGGGGTTTTCTCGAGGGGGGGGGGGGATATTCAAAAAAATTCGAAAATGTTGTCGACGTTTCATTTTCCGAGCTCTGCCAAAGCACCTTGTTTTGACCAAATTTTCTGCGCAGCAAAATGGCGTTTTTAGGCTTTTTTTTTGGAAAACTTTGACCAAAAAATTGCGTTTTTTCGGCGCGCGCTCACTCCTCAAAGTTAGTATATATCGGTGCCAAAGACGCCTTTAGAAAAATTTTAGGGTTAGTCACCAAAAATGGATATCTCAGAAAAGTACAAACGGGGGACCCTTTGGGTCTGCAGGGGGTCGTATCGATTTCATTGCGTAACTAGTGCTTTTACAAGGTTGAATATGCAGACCCAATATGGCTGTTGTGGCCTAACTATGCATCAAGCCATTTTCCATAACAATCGTAACAACATAAACAAATCTTTTGTTAATAGAAATTGGCGGATAGGGTGGGGGGGGGGAGAAAAAGAGCAGAAACCTAAAAGAGTCACTCAGACAAAATGGATCGAGCCAAGTCAGGAGGTCAAACCAGGGGGTCTACTTTATAAGAATGCTCGTCCACAAACCAATTGCATTATTTAAAGGTTCTTAAGCATATGTATAACAATAAATTTGAGCGCATGCGCAGGATAAAATTGTATTTTTGAACTTTGGAGGGGAGAGGGGGGATGACGCAGAGATTTAAATTGTTTTAAAGACCTATTTTTAAATTTCTAAAGAATAGTTTTGCTTTTTAATGCTTTAGCGTAATCCCAATCCTTTCCGTCTCTGTAATCGTGCTGGCTACTTTCCTTGCTTGTGCCTCTATAGTCTACAATCACAAAAATGGTAAGTACACTTTCTTCATTTTTTTGCACTTTTTTGAAAAATATTATTTGAGTCACTAATATCCAAAAAGGAAGATACGCAACTGCTCGTAACAAGACAATTCAGCGAATATTCTGAGTATTTTATTGAGTACGCGCAGTAGTTTTTTGAAAAAAAACTATAAAAATTACGAAGAAAATTGAAAATATGGCAGTTATTGCTCGCATATTTAGTAAATCATATTCGAATTTATGTAAGCCTAGATTATTCGCGTCCAGCCAATATGAATTTCAGAAAATTCAGCCAAAACATTCAGACACTTTAGTCACTGACACTTAAGCCAAAAAGACAAAAAATAGATTTTCTTCTTTAAATTTTTAAAAGTGACCGCTGCAGTCAAACCAACGTTTTGCGAGCTTGCCTACACATGGTAGAACCTAATACAGTGCGTGAAGCGGCGACGCGCGCGTGGCGCCCTCACCGACGACCTTAAACCGAGAGTTAACTCCAGCGCATTTTTTAAACCTAAAACTATTGAAAAAGTGGCTGAATTGTCTAGGACTGAATGGTCTGTGTATTTTTGGCTGAGTTGTCTAAATTTCAATGAGGATAGTTAAAAAAACAAAAACTAAAATTTCAAGCTATTCCGATTCTTTTCTCAATCCGTTTACAAAAATCTTTAGTACAAAAAGTCACTTATTTGCAGAAACGCAGCTGTGAGTTTTTTTGCTTTTGTACATTTGTTTTTTTTTAAAGTTTGATGAGGTTGTATTTTGGTTTAATTTGACGTAAAATTTGCTTTTTGCCTAAATAATATAACAATTTTTAAAGTTTTTCCGATCTACTTGTCGTATGCATGCTGATTTTTGCATCCAACAAAAAAAATTGCTTTTTGTGCACTGAATTTGCCCTTTTGAATCCGTGCTGCAAAATTTTTTCATATAAATTAGAAAAAACTGCTCGTGTATCAGGACGAAGCTCTGACGTCCTACTCTTTTTTGAGAACACTTACAAACTTTAAAAGTTTTTTATTGAAAAATTTTTTATCCCCTCTCAAGCTAATATAAGTTACAAAGGTAGCATATGGAGTCCTGTATACTAATAATAAGAAGAAATGGCTGGCCTCAATTTAATTTGGAACGTAATAATCCGCCGCTTACGCGTGTTTTTTTTGCGCGTTGTTAATCCTAACTTGGCCAAATTAGCCGTTTTCAAACCATCATAACCCTACAAAAAATGACCACAGGTGAGACAGGTTTTCAAAATTGAGCTCAATAATTTTTTGTCGCACAGACAATTCAGCCAAAGATTATTCAGCCAATTTCAAAATCAGACAACTCAGCCTAACTCATTCGGACAATTCAAGGACGCTTTTTTTTTCAGCTGTTGACAAAACTCCGTCATGAGTGCTCACTCGCACTAACAAACTTGAGATTGAAATTGTTTTAAATCGATATTTATCCAGATTATTATGCTGTATAGAAACCGATTTAGCATAGCCCACTTAGATAGGTAAATCGGATTAGAATGGGTTAAACGGATTTTTCCGCCTAAGGAATCGATCTTAATTGCTTTGAATGGATTTATGCAAGGTAAAATAAAATCGGTAATATTCTAAACAAAACGTTTTAAAGTAACTATTTTTTGGTTTCCAAAATTGGGCAACTTTTTGTACACTAGAAAAGTTTCCATTGAAGCTACAAGGATCGAGAGGCTCACAAGGAGAGTTTTCATAGTACAAAGTGTTGAGCTGAGGCGAATTCTTCTGAATCTTGAAAATCTAACAGCTCCAGCGGTATGAAAAATAAAGTTATGAAAAGTTTCTCTATTTGTCTTTTTTGAGACCAAATATCAACACGAGAACCAAATGAAAAGCATATCATAAAATTTTGTTTCCACTGTTTTTTTTTGATAACCGAGAAAAATTGAATATATAAATTGTATAAAATTGGTATAAAATCAGTACACAAAAATACAGACAAAAATTGATTAAAATTGATTTCAATCGATTCGTTTTGTTACTCAAAATCCGTATGAAATTGAAAGCAAAAAACTGAAAAAATTGGATTTAAATCGATTTAAAATTGATTGAAATTGAATTTGTACGCGACTTTTTTGTAGCAAACTAAATCGCTTCTGAATCTTTGCAAATCAGTTATTCAGGTTTTTGCTTCATTATCTGTATAATTTTATAAAATCGATGATAATCCATTTCTTTTCAGTACGGGTAATTAAAAAACCAAAAATTGACTCAATGAAAAAACAACCGAAGCATAAAAAATCCACATTTTCTTCGAAAATCGGAAAAATAAATTAAATAATGTGCTCGATTTGTTAAGACTCTCGTCAAAATAGCAAGGGGGAGGCGCTTTACTGAAAAAATAATAAGAAAAAACACTTCAAAGTTTCTTTTGCTTAAAAATTTCATTAATTTTTTGAAATCAAAAACTGTTTCATAGACGGCGCAGGATGCGCCCTGATGCGAACAGTCATGCTATTATAATTTTGCAAACTTTTCTATAAATTTCTCGCTATCAAACTCCACAGATGGTTTCCTGTATTTTTAGCTCCACTCAATTTCTCTCTGAACGTATCATACTTTGTATCACCATCTGATCACTGTTTTTATAAAATTTTTATTGATAATTTGGAATGGGAACTCAACCCGGGTAAGCTATGTACATAGTAAATGGGTGAAAATATGAAAAGATGTGCTGAGTGCAAATGTAAAGGATTTTCGATTCTTTTGTTTTCATAGAAAATTTATCGATTTTAGGGTGCTGCAAAACAAACCGGATTGAAAACAGTCCAAGATTCCCTTCTACGTTATCTACAAATTCTCCATACGATATGTAAGTGGAGATACTATTATTGCTTGCTGAAGTTCGGATGAGGATTTTGTCAGCTATTTTCAAAAAAGAAAATCATAAAAATTTAGTTGTGTTTACTAAAGCGTACAAAATCAAATCGCAGGCGCAAAAATGCGAATCTTAAAACGTTTTTAAAACCAAGCAAAGAAAGCTAAGATCAAAGGTATTTATCAAAAGCTGAATGTGCGGCTCTTTAATTATAATTTAATTTGTTTTCAGGCTTATAAGTCGTAGATTACGTTCTCAATTTTATTCATGACCATCATTTTGATCAAAAGTTGCGCCCCGTTGAATTAAAGCTAGCAGGTTCCTTCAGATAAAACTAGCGACAAAGGTTCCTTTTTTGCGTTTTGAGAGGGATCGAAATCCTAAGAAAGGGGGCGTTCCCCGGTAAATCCACCCCTGATTATAATATTTATTTTCAAAATCGTTGAAGAAAGTCCGAAACACTTCGAAACGGAGAAATTTGAAAATTTGTGAGTTGGTTTTTATTGCAAAGATTTCATTTTTCAGCAAACCGACTCTTCCGAGTTACTCCGAAAACTGTCGAGACGAAGTCATTGTAATCCCCAATACAGGAAGTTCAGCTTCATCGGAAAATAATATAAATGAAAATGAAGGAATATTCAACACCAATACCCCTCCCCCACCCTATTCTCAGGAAGTGATGATGCCAATGCCCCCACCCAGCAATAGCGAGACCCAAGAAGGTCCCCCTCCCGACTACTGGGCCAACGCAATTAAGAAAACTAACTGCAAATTGTGAACTTTATGCTTTATAGATTTAGAAATTTTTTAGAACACTGTTAGAGTTAGAGATGCTTATACCTATGGTCTATCAGTTTCTATGATAGCTATTGAAAAAATACAGTGGATACAATTTGCGGTCACTCTTTTAGAAGTTGCAAATTCTAGTTTTTGAAAGACTTTGTTCGCTCTTTTAAACTATATCTTTTCTGATATAGTTTGTATCAGGAGCGGATCTAGGATTTTGGATTTTCCTCGAAGTGGGGGAATGGGGGGGGGGGGCGAATTTTCCAAAAAAATTCGAAAATTTTGTCGACCTTTTTTTAGGTCGACCAAATTGAATTTCTGAGCTCTCCCAAATCACTATAAGCACCCCATTTTGACCAAATTTTCTGCGCCACAGGCAAATAAAAACAGGCCAAAAAAGCGTTTTAGGCATTTTTGGAAAACTTTGACCAAAAAATTGCGTTTTCTATCAGCGCGCGATCCCCGCTCTAAAATTAGTAAATATTGGCTCCGAAAGCGCCTTTAGAAAACTTTAAGGGTACCTCACCAAAAATAGATATATCAAAATAGTACAAAGGGGGGACCCTTTGGGTCGGCAGGGGGTCGAGTCCCTGAGGAGGCAAGAGGCCTCCACCCCCCCCCTAAATCTGCTACTGGTTTGAATGCTGCCATCTGATAGATACCGTCGCTTTTAATTGGAGTCGAGAATTCTCTTGCCATTATTTTTTTGTAAAGTTATAAGAATTTGAAAGTTGGATGTTGAATGGACGTTGAAAGCTTTGATTTGTTCGTTAGTTGGAACTACGAAAAAATTGTATAGATTGGCCAGAAAACAAATATTATTTAGTGTAATTTTGAAATTGATGAAATTTTTAAATATTTGTGCAAATTTTGCAACCAATCTTCTCGGGGTTTGAACCCCTGCCGCCTCAAATGGTCCCTCTTTGGTTTTTTAAAAAATCCATTTTTGATTGACTCTGCTTTAAAAAATTTTTTATTGCGCCTTCAGAATCGATAAGACGAGAAATGATATTACTTTTGTACAGCCAATTGATGCACAGGTAGATTTTTGAAATCCTAAATGCCTAAAAAAACGAATCTTAGTGGCAGCATTCTCTTGTGAAAACACGCCAAAGAACGATTTTTAAGCAGCAATGTGTGCACATCGCAGCTATGCTGCGATTGTGCAAATTGCCGAAACAAATGGACAATCTTCTAACAAACGTGAAAACTGGGAATCCAAAACAACAAGAGCAACAACAACAAAAACAACAACAACAACAACAACATCAACAACAACAACAACAACAACAACAACAACAACAACAACAACAACAACAACAACAACAACAGCAACAACAACAACAACAACAACAACAACAACAACAACAACAACAACAACAATAATAATATATATACTAATTTTGAGGTGGAGCGCGCACAAAAAAACGAGGTCCTTTCAGTCCAAATTTTCCAAAAAGTGCCCAAAAATTTGCCTGTGCCACAAGAATTTTTGTCAAATCATTGTCTGCTAATGTTATGGGAGCGCTCAAAAACTCAGCTTGGTCAACCTTAAGAAAAAAGAGGTTTTTGAAAACCCCCTCCTCCCCGAGATAATCCAAGATCCGCCCCTGGCAGTGAGCATGGTGGGATATGCTCATCACGAAAAAAAAAAGATTTTCAAAATTTCGTCTATTTTTTCAAATCCACAAAATTGGTCAAAAACGGCTAGTTAAAAAGTTGAAATTTGTCTGAACAAAAAAACACCACGAGCACAAATTTTTCGTTGCATTCGCTACGAAATTCGGAATAAAAATCATTAAAATCATAACAAATTGTTTGCAATATACATTTTCATTCACTGTGAAATTCGCAACATTTATAACCAAATACAATCATATCGCAAGAACGCGTTAAATTCGTTTCAACTCCATTCATGCACCTCGCAAATTTTTTTGAAACAAACCAGTTTCAAACGGGTATTTTTAACTACTATTTGAAAATTTAGTCTCACCGACATAATGCAAGTGTCAGACATATATCTTACACCCCGCTAGTTATTTTGGATGATAGAATGCTGGGTCCGGAATTTGGAGCAGATTTGATGAAAATTGGAGACGTACTTGCGTCAAAATAGGACGAACAGTAAAGAAAGGTGATGTAACAAGATAGCAAGAACCATAAATTAAACATAAAGGGCAAAAAATTTGTTAATTGAAATTTTTTTTTGTCTGGATATGGTAAGAGATGCTGGAAAAAAGACTAACGCCCGAAGTTTTTTAAAAAAAATTTAACAACAAGTCTTATGGTCGCCCCTTCCTGAAAATTCCGAATTAAAAATTTCGAAGCTAGTGGCGACAGTATCGAAATTGGTAGCGACATTCTGGAAAGTGTGTCGATAATCTGTAAACTGGTAGCAAGGTATAGATTGTCTTTTGCCGTGTTGTACAAGCTAAGCATCAAGTGATAAGTGATTGCATCAGTGGCGTGAGGTCAACATTGTGGTCGCCATAAGCACATCCACCACCCCCCCCCCCTCCCCAAACTTTTAAACATCTCTCACTATTTTGCTTACAAAATTTGATACTTGTTTTATTAGCGGCAGAAAGTCGAATTTTACTGTGATTTACTTCTTCTGATGACAAACAAATACGATATTAGGAACAAGATAGCACGAACCATAAATTAAAAATAAAGGGCAAAAAGTTTGGGCAAAAAGAATTTTAACAACAAATCTTATGGTCGCCCCTTCCTGAAAATTGCGAATTAAAAATTTCGAAGCTAGTGGCGACAGTATCGAAATTGGTAGCGACATTCTGGAAAGTGTGTCGATAATCTGTAAACTGGTAGCAAGGTATAGATTGTCTTTTGCCGTGTTGTACAAGCTAAGCATCAAGTGATAAGTGATTGCATCAGTGGCGTGAGGTCAACATTGTGGTCGCCATAAGCACATCCACCACCCCCCCCCCCCCCCCCTCCCTCCCCAAACTTTTAAACATCTCTCACTATTTTGCTTACAAAATTTGATACTTGTTTTATTAGCGGCAGAAAGTCGAATTTTACTGTGATTTACTTCTTCTGATGACAAGCAAATACGATATTAGGAACAAGATAGCACGAACCATAAATTAAAAATAAAGGGCAAAAAGTTTGGGCAAAAAGAATTTTAACAACAAATCTTATGGTCGCCCCTTCCTGAAAATTGCGAATTAAAAATTTCGAAGCTAGTGGCGACAGTATCGAAATTGGTAGCGACATTCTGGAAAGTGTGTCGATAATCTGTAAACTGGTAGCAAGGTATAGATTGTCTTTTGCCGTGTTGTACAAGCTAAGCATCAAGTGATAAGTGATTGCATCAGTGGCGTGAGGTCAACATTGTGGTCGCCATAAGCACATCCACCACCCCCCCCCCCTCCCTCCCCAAACTTTTAAACATCTCTCACTATTTTGCTTACAAAATTTGATACTTGTTTTATTAGCGGCAGAAAGTCGAATTTTACTGTGATTTACTTCTTCTGATGACAAGCAAATACGATATTAGGAACAAGATAGCACGAACCATAAATTAAAAATAAAGGGCAAAAAGTTTGGGCAAAAAGAATTTTAACAACAAATCTTATGGTCGCCCCTTCCTGAAAATTGCGAATTAAAAATTTCGAAGCTAGTGGCGACAGTATCGAAATTGGTAGCGACATTCTGGAAAGTGTGTCGATAATCTGTAAACTGGTAGCAAGGTATAGATTGTCTTTTGCCGTGTTGTACAAGCTAAGCTTCAAGTGATAAGTGATTGCATCAGTGGCGTGAGGTCAACATTGTGGTCGCCATAAGCACATCCACCACCCCCCCCCCCCCCCTCCCTCCCCAAACTTTTAAACATCTCTCACTATTTTGCTTACAAAATTTGATACTTGTTTTATTAGCGGCAGAAAGTCGAATTTTACTGTGATTTACTTCTTCTGATGACAAACAAATACGATATTAGGAACAAGATAGCACGAACCATAAATTAAAAATAAAGGGCAAAAAGTTTGGGCAAAAAGAATTTTAACAACAAATCTTATGGTCGCCCCTTCCTGAAAATTGCGAATGAAAAATTTCGAAGCTAGTGGCGGCAGTATCGAAATTGGTAGCGACAGTCTAGAAGTTCTGTCGATAATCTGGAAACTGGTAGCAAATGGGGAGTGCAAAAAATGAGTACACACTTAAATCAAAGAAAAAGAAATTCAGATCAAAATTATTGGAAAAAAGGATGAAACTGGTACCAATTTTAGTTTTAAGCAAAAGATAAATGTAATAAAAATCCTGTTTCTGGGTTGTTTTCTATTTTTTTTTCATACTGACATGATCTATAAAAACTCGCAAAAACAATGAATACGGCAAAAAATTATTTAAAACTTTTAGACTGGAAAAACATAGTTCAAAGAAGTAAAATTTCCGCTTGAATACTACAAGAATACATTTCAAAGGGGAAGAAGGTGAATTATTTTGCAAAAAGTTTGGTAGTCTTCAAACTCCACTGGTTATTGGGTTCAATTTCCCTGCAGCACAGTTTCTAATCTAAAGAAAAAGCGGCATTGTTGTACTAACGATTTTAATTTATTTGGAGAAATCGGAAAAAGTTTGTACGCCTTTTTATTAGTATGACATTGTTCGGATTAAGCTCTCATCTTGCGACCGACAAAATTGATCAACAAATCTAAAGTAAAGAAATAAGGTGAATATTTGTGGTGGAGCAATAAAAATATATATTCATAGCAATAAAAATAGCAATTCATGGCAATAAAAATTTCAGAATGTATGATTCGCAGAAACGAAACAATTTTGATTATGAATAAATTTCAAAAAAAAAACGCAATTCTGTGTTTCGCTCTCATTGTTCTAAAATTTTGCGGATAACGACGTGTAACCAATGTGACGAGCCTTTAATGCAATTGTTCCTCGAATATCTAAGACAATGTTTTTGAAAATCAACTAAATTCGGGAAATTCGGGTTCAATTGCTACATGATTTTTGCTCGAGTTTCCCCTCAAAATTTCATTGCGATCAGTTTATTTGCTTGTGCAGGCATCCTTATCTTCCAGCCAATATTTGATTGCTGCTTGTTTCAATAGTTGGTAAGTAAAATAAATACGTATCACCTGCCTTTTTAATAATTAATAGAGCGAGAAGACAAGACGGCAGTCTGCATCTAAGTGCTCTTGTATGCACCAGCTTCCTCTTAGGGCGATGAAAGTTACCGGGAGAAACTGATTCAGTTAAATTTATTCTTCTTTGGTGTGATTGTAAATGCTTCTTGAGACATCGAATTCAATTCAAAAAGCAACATATTTTTGTTCACAAATTGAACTAGTTTTTGAAAAAAGAGAGCCGGTTGCGGTGCGCAAGCATCACAACGATTGAAGAAATGAAATTTAAAAAAAGTCAACAACAAAAAAATTCACCAAAATGATCGTCGTTTTTTGTCAATAAAAGGCGATTGAATGACGTAAAAACCGACCGATTGAGAGGTATAAATATCTAAATTAATTTAAAAACTGCAGAATGATTCTGAGAAGAGTTCAATTTTTCAATCTTCTCCAACACGAGACAATTTTTTTTGATTTTTTTCAAAGTCAGAATCACGACGAACAAGCCTGTATGACCCCACGCTTGAGCACTTCTTAGTTTCTTTAGTGCAGTCAAAATAGAGAGAAAATTAGGCCATACTTTTTTGTTAGCAGCAAAAAGGTTTCCAAAAAAGAGAACTATAACTTGATTTTTGAATCAAGAATTTTTCGAGCAGAGCATATTGATCTAATCACATGTTTAAAACATAACTACAGGAAACTAAAAACTAATTTTTATCATTTCTAAGACAAAATAACCAGTGGTTTTTGATAATTTAATAGAAAAATTAAGAACGCTAACTTTTATATTGAATGATGTGAAGAGTGTCTTTTCGCCTTAAACTTATATAAGAACGGAAAACGTCAAACCGCAATTGAGACAACCGTGATTCTGGAACGTTTTTCTTGTACATTGAATTTTTACTGAAAGTACTTTTACAGAATAAATCACTCGATTGCCCAAATTTTTCTTTTTGCTGTTTATTGTTCGTAGAAAAAAACTATACATAAACTTGAAAATTGCGTCAAAAAAATGCTTTTCATTTCGTGGTCTAACTTATAATAGAAAAGAGACTGCTTGCATATCAGGAATATGTCCGAAATGTTCCGACAACCAGCCAGATTTAGTAAGGGGGACGCCAGATTGAGGATGGATTTGGGGGGCGGGGAGTAGCCAGATTCAGGGGGGGATTCTAACCCTGACTAGCCAAAGGGTCCCCCTTTGGTACTAATATAAGACCTCTATTTTTGGCTGGCTGACCCTGAATTTTTCTAAAATCAGAAAACAATTTCAGAATTTTTTGAAAATCCACCTCTCCTCAATAAAATCCTTGATCCGCCCCTGGTTATCGAAAAAAAGTTAAACTTATCCCCCTCGCGCTAATGTAATCCGCCCCTGGTCATCGAAAAAAGTTACATTCATCCCCCTCTTGCTAATGTAAGCTACAAAGGTATGTATTTAGCGTCTAGTATCCTGAGTAAAGACCACCAAATGACTTGCCTCCTTTAAATTAAAAACGCTTACGCGTGCCATAGAAACGCAATTTTATGAAAGTTAATTATCCTAAATTGGTCTAATTAGCAATTTTCTAAGCCTCATAACTTAACAAAAAATGATCACAGTTGAAATATCTTTTAAAATATAAGCTCAGAAAAACAATATACTTCAGATAGTACCAAATATTATTTTCATAAAACTGCTTACTAAAAATTGAAAATTGACTGAAAAAAATTACCCCAAGCATAAATAATCCGTGGAAAAAGCGTAGAATTAAACGGACAAGTCCGTTTTTCATATAAACAGGATAATCAAAACAAAACCAGAAGGAGCAAATCTTGCTGTAAATTTGTGGAGCCAAATGTGATTCAGAGCTCGATGACCAGCAAAAGACAACATCTACTAAGGGATCTGAAGGATCGCAATTGAATGTTCAAAATCACCATTTTCCATCACAACTAGCACGACTGTAAATTCTTTAGCCCAACTATAAGCCGGAGGTTGGACTGAATTA